TCCCGGCGCCCGGTACGGTGCAGGCGGCCCGGTACAGCCCGGGCTGCCCCGGCGACTGCCGAGCCGCCGCCTGCCGCGCCCTGCGGGCCGCCCTGCAGCACCCCGCAGGTACCTGGGTCGGGGATCTCCTTCCTCCCTCCGTCCCCCGGAGCCCGGTTTTTAGTGGGATTTGCTCCATTTTCCTGTTGGATCTTCCCCTTCTTAGTGGAATCTACCCCATCCTCATGGCTTCTGTTCTCTCCTCATGGGATCTCCCCTGCAATTGGGTCAGGCTTTTCCCATTAGGATCTGACCATTCCTGATAGTATCTTCTCCCCACCCAATGGGATCTGGCTTTTCCCATGGGGATTGTACCACTCTGTACTGATGGGATCTTTACACATGCACAATCCCATCTGCATTTCCCCATTGAAATCTCTTTCATGCTGGTGGGATCAGAGCCTTTCCAGTGGGGTCTGCCTCTTTCTGGTGAGGTTCCCAGACCTGGCAGACAGGGCAGACCAACTTCCCAGCAGTTTGGGAAACACCAGAGTAGCTCATGGATACATGAGCTACAGGGATGTGGCAATACTGGTACTTGCCTTCAGCATCACAAGGTTGACAGAGTCTCCTGGGATCCCTGGGACATGAGGATGATTGTTCAGGTGCTTCTTTCTATCAGCTCAGCCCAGAATCCTGTATCTGAATGTTGAGGAGCTTTGAGGTGACTGGTCATGAGGGCACAGGGCTGTCTTCTGCCACCTCTCTATTACGGCACACACAGTCCTCTTTCCAGCTTCTCTACTTTCACATGCTTTTATCTTCCTCACATTGTTCCTGCTGCAAGAATTTCTGATGTGCTCCCAGACATCAGTGAATCCTCCAGTTCTGGTTGCAGCAGTCTGGTAGGACAGCAGCTGCAGAGGCAGAAAAGCATCCCTGCATACATTTTTCTGCCTTGGCACTTTGCTGGTGCTTGGCTCAGTCTATGTATTTTTGTGGCTGGCTGTGGAGAATGAGGAGCAGGAGGAGCTGGATTGGGTATTACAGCCTGATTGTGTGTGCTCATTCACTTCTGATGCTTTGCCTGGTGCTCTGAGTCATGTAAGTGTTCCAGGACCTGTGTGTGTAATGAGGACACTCATCACCTTCAGGATTCAACCTTAGGCAGGGACAACTTCTTTCTGTGCTTCTGTGAGCTTTGCCTTCCAAAATCTCCACCTGGACAGAGGGGATCCCAAGTGTAGCTGTGCCTCCAAAGAGTAGTTGAATGCTCCAGGCAGTGCACCCAGGCAGTGCACTGGAGTTTTTGTTGACTGCCAGAAAGACACTGAGCCCTTTAGTGTTGCAATGGCTCGGTAAACTGAATGACGCTGAAGTGGTTTATCATTTGTTATCTGGTTAGGAGGTGAAAGGCTGGATGATATTTCAATGGGGGTGTTGAACTGCTGCTGCTGGAGACCACATAAAATATGCTGCTGTAGTATTTTACAGGCTGCTGTAATGTTTTACTAAAATGGCCTGAAAGTCTGTAGTAACTTAGTTGTCTTCTAGAATAATTACTATACATTGACCACACACTCTCTGCAATTTGCCAGCAATTACAGCTGCAATTTTCAGTGTGCTGCTGTGCAGTCTCCATGGGAGGGAGGAATTACTTAATAAAGCAGGTGAACAGTAAACAGGTTGATGTGTGACAATGCAAAAGAAAAACTTCCTTCTGTGGAAATTCTCTAACTGTGTCAGTCCCCAGCCTCTCCACATGCGCCAGCTGAGCTCCTGCCAGGTTTCTTGCTCACTCTCAGCTGCCACATCTAGGTTGGTTTTGGCAGCAAGGTGGCAAAGTAGAAACTGACACCAGGGACAAATTTCCAGGGTAGCAGCGAGGTTTCAGCCAAAAATAAGAATTTCCAGGAGTTTCTCTGTACTTTCCAGTGGTGGGCTTTGTGGAGCCTGGTGTTGTTGCTAGGACCTGGTTTTGCTGCAAGGCTCATGGAGTGAGAGATGACGAAGCAACAGGGCTGACCTGATACCAGTCTGAACTCATCTTCTCTGGTTTATACAGAAGACATAAAAAACAGGGAGAGGTGGAGGCTCCCATCCTTCTTGAAGTGCATTTCTTGGAACCAAAGGAGCTGGAGAAAAGATCATGAAGCAAAAGCTGAAAACAACATTCATGAAGGTATGCCCAGCTCTCTCCCTTGTACTCTGCTGTGATTGTCAGAAGTTCCTCATGATTCCCTGGTGGTTCTGGTGCCCAAACCCCTTGCTGGTAGCCTTTTCCAGTTATTTCCAGCTCTGCAGTTGACCTTGCTTCCCTGGCTGTGGTTTAGCCCAAACCTGAAGACGACCACCATGTGTCTGCTTTGTTGCCATCTCCTTGTTTTCTGATCTTTTGCTTGTCTAAACAAAACCCGGCTGAATCTTGTGCCCAAATACAACCCTGGAAGCACTGCTGAACTCAGCTGCATTTTGTTTGAATAGACATTCTGGAAGCAGAACTACTCTCTGTCTAAGCAATGAATTGGAAGCACCCTGATAATATGTGATGTTTTCTGCAAACGGGTGCAAGGAGTGTTCCCAAACCATTTGCTTTTGGGGGTGGCAGAGAGAAGGGAGAGGGCAGCCAGCTGTGGGCTCCCCGATTTAAAGGAAATTGTTCAGGTAACACATAGCATAGCATTCAGCCTTTGTGCATGGTTGGCACTTTGGCTTGCACTTCCCAGCAGTGATTTTCTTTTTGCAGGAGTGCCTCATGCAGGAGGCTACAAGGTGTAGGGATCCAGATTGTACTATGAAGCACAAAGAGGAGGGAAAGCTCCTTCACTGTAAAAATAGAATAGAATAGAATAGAATAGAATAGAATAGAATAGAATAGAATAGAATAGAATAGAATAGAATAGAATGTTGTATTTTCATTTGAAAGGAACCTACAATAATCATCTAGTCCAACTGCTTGAGCACTTCAGGGCTGAACAGATTTTAAAGGATATTATTAAGGACTGAAATGAATGCCCAATTTATGCAGCTATGAGACATATGAGATTGTGAGACCCACCCTCCATGGTCAGAAAACTGAAGTGCCTGATCTTGCTGTCAGTGCCAGGCAGGCGATACCCTCTGGCCATGCAACTTGTTTTGAGATTGCTGAGACTTCAGGAGGCCAGGACCTGGGCCCTGTGCTCCTTTGCTCTGTTTGCTGAAGCAATGTTGAGTTTGTAAAACAAAATGAAAATCAGTTTGGAAAAAAAATCAGCTGTGCTTAGGTTGTGAGTAGATATCAATTGATTCAGCCCATGCTTTCTTTTTATCTTAAGTTGCATTTTCCAGGAGGAGGGGTTTTCCATTCAGGTCTGCCTCGACCTCTTTCTTTGCCCTGCAGGTGACCTGCAGGACCCTGAGGAAGAAGTGGCTCTGGCCAGCCTTTCCCCCAACGGAAACTGCGAAGAAACTGCTGGAGGCACAGGCACCTAGAGCTGCTGGGCATCCAACACAGTCCACATCCCAGATCTGCCCAGTGGATTTGATGCAGTGGGAGGAGGAGCTGGTGCAGGCCCTCTCCTTCAAGGACACACACCTCCAGGAAAAAGCTGCTTGGCTGAACTCATCAGGGTCTTTTGTAGCTGCCACCAGTCCCTGGGGTCTGTGCCAGAGAGCCATTCCCTGCTGTGCCCTGCTGCCCTGGGGCACCTGGAGCTGCTGCTGGACACTGGGCTTCAGAGAAGCCCTTCGGGGATGTACCCCACATCCTGGGCAAAATGACATTGGGACTTCGAGTGTGAAATGCAGACACCTGTTTGAAGAATGAGAAATGTTTTCTAATTCTGAACAAAGTTCCCTGCTGAGGTTGCTGGGGCTGGCCTCCCTGTCAGACCGATTCTTCTGCCTTGTTTTCCTGCTTTATTGGTGCTTGGAAGAGCCAATAAAACCCCTGCAAGAGACTGGTGCAAGTGGATGAACTGCCCAGGCTTTAAGAGGTGTAAGCAAGAATACATTTGACCAAAAGTATTGTTTTCCTTTGACTGAAGAATAAAAGTGACTTGAATTACTTTTTTTTTTTTTCCTTTTCTGTTTTTACTATCTGTGCACTTGGAGGTGTAAGCAGATAGTTCTACATGTTTAATTGACTGAATAATTTAAGGGCACTATTACATGCTTGCTGTATAAAGACATTTAATTTCCAAATTGGAATGTGCTTGTTTGCCATGCTCTTATCCTTAAAGTAGCATTATGCGTAGCTTAACTCATATTTATCATGGCTTGAAAAAACTGGATATTGGGATGGAATGGAAGAGACCCCAGTGTCCGATACGCAGAAGATCAGCAGAACTGAGTGTAGCCCAGCTGGGGCAATGGAGAAGGCTGGAGATCTTCCCAGTTGTCCAAGAGTGGAGCAGCCCCTCTTGGCATTGTGGGTAGAGGTTTGACAAGTTTTCATTAATAACTTTCATTAATAACTTTCACTAACTCATACCATTATGCATCCTCAAGGAATTAAAGCACTTTACAGGGTATTTCTTCCTGTTCAGTAGCAACAAGGAGGAATCGATGCTGCCGAGGTCTGGGCACTTTGGTCTCTTGTTTGATCTCATCGTTGCTCCTGAGCTGGACTTTCCCTGGTGCAAATCCACCAGCCTGGGTATCCCATCTGTCTTGCGCCGCAGAAGCGGCCGGCAAGAGGTGCTACACCCATGGGATAAAATCGCCGATCCTTGCACTGTCATGGGACACGCTGTGCCCCTAAAGATGCCCGGCCCACTGCGGGCGGCCTGTCCTGGCGGGGGGAGCAGCCGCTTCTCTGGGCACGGCAGAAACGTGGGCACCGGCGGGGTCACTCGTGGGGAACCGGCCCCGCGGTCCCACTTGCCCAGGCAGTGGTGCGGGCGGTTTGCGGAGCGGGAGGCCGTGAGGAGCCCGTGAGGGATGTGCGGGAGCCCCGAGAGGCCCGCGGGGGTCCGTGAGGGGCCCCGGACGGGACGAGGCCCCCGGCGGTAGAGCTGCCCCGCTCCTGCCTGCCTGTTTCTCCGCCGTCCCGCGCAGGCGATCACACGGGCACCTTTCCGGAGCCGCCGGAAGAGGCCCTTGGCGCCACTTCCGGGCCGGGCAGCGGCGGCGGCGGCGGAACCGCGGTTGGGCCGGACCGGACCCGACCCGACCCTCCCGGACCCTTCGGACCTCCCTGACCTCCCCTCCGAGGGCAGCCGGGCGGCATCATGATCACCTCGGCCGGTGAGGCAGCGTTGCGGGGCGACGTTGCCCGCCGGGGTTTCGCTGAGTCAGGGCCGTGACTGAGCGCCGCCGCGGCTCCGCGGGGCCGCCCCGGAGCCTCCCCCGCGCTCCCGGCGGATCCCCCGCGGATCCCCGCTGGATCCCCCGCGGATCCCCGCTGGATCCCCGCTGGATCCCCGCTGGATCCCCGCTGGAACCCTGCTGGAACTGCAGTGAATCCCTGACAGATCCCTGCTGGAATCATGGCGGATCCCTAACGGATCCCTGCTGGAACCGCGGTGAATCCCTGACAGATCCCTAATGGAACTGTGGTGGATCCCTGACAGATCCCTAATGGAACCGCAGCAGATCCCTGGCGGATCCTCGGTGAATCCCTGACAGATCCCCAGCAGATCTCTGGTGGAAACACAGCAGATCCCTAACAGATCCCTGGTGGAACTGTGGTGGATCCCTGGCAGATCCCCGGTGGATATCCCTCCTGGAACCGCAGTGGATCCCTGATGGATCCCTGCTGGAACCATGGTGAATCCCTGACAGATCCCCAGTGGAACTGCAGCAGATCCCTAACGGATCCCTGGTGGGACTGTGGTGGATCCCTGACAGATTCCTGGCAGATCCCCGGTGGATCCCTGCTGGAACTGCTGCAGATCCCCGGCAGATCCCTGGTGAATCCCTGATGGATCCCCGGTGGAACAACGACAGATCCCTGGCAGATCTCTGGTGGATCCCCGGTGGATCCCTGGTGGATCCCTGGTGGATCCCTGACATATCCCTGGTTGAACCACGGTGGATCCCTGGTGAATCCCTGACAGATCCCTGACAGATCCCTGACGTATCCCTGACAGATCCCCGGTTGCACCACGGTGGATCCCCGGTGGATCCCTGGTGAATCCCTGACAGATCCCTGACAGATCCCTGGTTGCACCACAGTGGATCCCTGGTGGATCCCTGTCAGATCCCCGGCGGATCCCTGTCAGATCCCCGGCGGATCCCCGCTATCGCATCCCGCAGCTCCCGGCAGATGCGCGGCTGCTCCCGCCGGGAAGGGCGGGTGTGCTCAGCGAATCCCTGGGATCCATCCCGCGCCGTTCCGGAGCTGCTCCTCCACAGATCCCCGCGCTCCCCGGCCGCGCCCTCCACGCTTCACCTTTCATTTCAGCCTTTCTGCCAGGCCGAGCAGAGCCCGGAGCTTTTCCCGGCGCCTCCGGGACGCTCCTGCCTTTCTGGGCCGCACAAAGCGATTGGTTTCCGTGTGAACGCGGCTTTTCCCTTCAAGGGAAAAAATAATAAAAAATAAAATAAAAACAAGATGATCCAAGTCTAATCCTGAGCCTCTCCACGGGCAGCGTCCCGGGAAGTCCCCGAGGGGAGAAATGTTGATATTCATTCCCAGTCTGTTGTTTCCCTCAGTGAATATCCAGGCAGGGAGGAGGCTCCTGCTCTTTCCACAGCAGCGAGGATCCCCAGGCCGCTGCTGGAATTGTCCCTTCCTGACACGTTCGGTGTCACCTGTCCCGAGCTGCCCAACGCCCCTGCTGTAAATTAAAATTCACTCTTGGGGAGGGAAAATCCAACCCAGCTCCAGCAGCTCTGGGAGCAGGTGAGGAACAAATAAATTCTGAGGGGGTTTCGCTGCACCTGAGGCCTCTTTTCCCAGGCAGAGCCAGGGTTCAGTGCCAGGTGGCCAAAAACGCCTCAGGAAGTGACAAAAAGGAGCGGGGGAAAGGTTGGGCCTGGCCAGGGAGGGCTGGGAGGGGAAGGAGGAGGAGAAACCTCGCTCTGCTGAGGTGGGGGGGTCAGGGCAGGTCATCCCTGGGGTGGGGAACAGGGACCAGAATCCCAGAGGTGGGAATGTCAGGTGGAGCAGGATCCTTCCATGGGAATGTCAGGTGGAGCAGGATCCTTCCATGGGAATGTCAGGTGGAGCAGGATCCTTCCATGGGAATGTCAGGTGGAGCAGGATCCTTCCATGGGGATGTCAGGTGGAGCAGGATCCTTCCATGGGAACGGGCACCGGGATCCTTCCATGGGAATTTCTGATTTCCCAATGGGAATATTTTCCTGTGGGTTCCATGGCTGGGGTGATCCTGTTGGGAAGGAGTGTTGTTCCCAAAGCCAGACCAGCCAGTTCCTGAGCCCCAAGCATCAACTGACCCCTCATTTTCAAGTCCAGCCAGGTGCATTCCCACTGGCTGAGTTCTTCTTTTCCTTGGAAAACACTTCCCTACCCGTCAGCAGGAGCAGGAAAATGTGTCCCTCCATCTCCCTGCACCCTCTGGCTGCCTCTCCAGCCCTGCTCTCCCTCCCTGCATTTCCCCTCCGGAAATTTCCTTTCCTCTTTTTCACACCAGCTCTGGGCTGTGCCAGACAAGCCCCTGTTCCCAAAAACTTGGGGCAGGCAGAGCCCAAATCCTGGATCCTGATCCTCCTCCTCACTCCACAGCTCGCTCTGCTCCTCATCCAGGTTTGCCAGAGAGAAAAGAAAGAATGAAAAGTCACCAAAGCCCTGATTTTTATGCAGGAAGTGCAAAGCTTGAGCAGCGAGCGTGACCCCCGTGCCCTGCTGCCCGCAGGAGAAACTGCGGATTTTTCCTCTGGAAGATCCCGGGTCAAACAAAGCAGCAGCAAAATTCCCCCGATGGCCGGGATTTGGCTGTTTTCCTTCACCTCCCACCCCATCCTCACCCTGGAGGAGGGCAAGGACCATTCCCTCCAGGATAAATCCCTCGGAGGCGCTGGGGAAGTTCGGATTTGGTGTTTCCTCGTTATGAGCCGCCAGAGCCGGGCGGGAAGCGCCGGCCCCGCTCCGAAAGGCCGAGAGCAGAAGGACCCCAATGAAATTCCCGCTGCCCTTTGGGTTTAGGTCAGGGCTGGGGCTGGGATGTGTCCGGAGAGCCACGAGCTCGGGTTCAGAGCTTGGGGAGCCCAGCCCGGAGCTGTGACCCCGGCTGAGGATGGGATAACGCTGGGAAAACGCTGGGAAAATGCTGGGATAACGCTGGGATAACGCTGGGATAACACTGGGATAACAACGCTGGGATAATGCTGGGATAACGCTGGGATAACGCTGTGAAAATGCTGGGATAACATTGGGATAACAACGCTGGGATAATGCTGGGAAAATGCTGGGATAACTCTGGGAAAACTCTGGGATAACGCTGGGATAACATTGGAATAACTCTGGGATAATGCTGGGAAAATGCTGGGATAATGCTGGGATAACACTGAGATAACGTTGGGAAAACGCTGGGATAACGCTGGGATGACTCTGATAAAGCTGGGATAACAACACTGGGAAAACACTGGGATAACGTTGGGATAACTCTGATAAAGCTGGGATAACAACACTGGGAAAACACTGGGATAACGTTGGGAAAACGCTGGGATAATGCTGGGATAACGCTGGGATAACATTGGGAAAAAGCAAGAGCCCCGTTGAGTTGGGCTTTTTATATTTTTCCCTCTTCCCCAACCGCTGCTGCTGCTGCTGTTTTAACAGAACCAGACATTTCCCTGACGATTCCCAAGGCCTATAAATGTTTGATGTCCCTTTCCTTCCCCGCTCAGGCAGCAACTTCTGGGCTTTGTGGGAAGCAAGGCCGGGATGGGAGCAGCGGGACGGGGACAGCGGGCGCAGGGCGAGGATCCAGCCCCGGATTCCCATGGAAAGGCTCCCTCGCCCCCCTGTCCTCTCCTCCCCCCGGTTCCTCGAAGGAGATCCCGGTGCCCAGCCCCCGTGCAATATGGCTTTGTGCTGCAGGAACCTAAATATAGAGCCCGAGCCCTCCGGGGGCTGCGCTGCGCTCCGAGGTATTTATAGCTGCG